GGGTTTGTAAAGAACATGTTCAATCTGAAAACTGGGAGCTACCGGAGATTCAAGCTCATTTATCTAGAGGGTTGGCAGCAATTAACCATTTAAAGATCTCGGACTCAATACGTTTGATAGGAAATTTCAATAAAAGCTTCACAGACTCAACAAAACTAAAGAATTATAACTATATATTTTTCGTGTTTTTTCATGAAACCAAATCTCGTACTTTTGTAATGACTTGCAATTCCAAACTTAACCTTAGATTACCGAAAAACTACTATCAGTACCTTAAACTTCATTATTGTTCTCAGCATGAAAAATAAATAAATAAAAGGAGAGTTAATGTTTGAAAAGATGAATTTGATGTTTTTGATCCTTACCATTGTGACAGTGAAGAAGTTTCTGAGGTATCTTGTTACGCGAGCATTTTCATGAATATGCTGATGTTTTTCAAGAGTAATAGATGTCGTTTATAGTTCCAAGCAACAGCAAGGCATTAATACGTGTTTTGTTAGGGTAATTAGGGTTTTCAGTAACTCCCATCGCATTTCTGTTTATAATTGGCTTTTAACCTACTAAATGTTTTATGGGAGATTTACATACATACCACTCAATTCCTATGTAGTACCTATTTAACACCTAAGCTTCGTTTTTCACATTCTTACCACCTTACCGTGCATGAAAGTTTATTTCAACATTTTGGAGTTAAGATGGTGATATTTTTTGTGCGCTGTGAAAGATTTGGGTGGTATAAGTGTAAAAAGCAAAGTGTTGGTGTTCGATATGTATGTATATGCACTACAAAGATTTCTCATAGTCAATTTATATTTATGCTGGGCTTGTCTACTATGGAAGCTATACATTTATTGAGAGTTTTAATGGAGAAGTTCAAAGATGATAAGGAGGATATGCATTTGATTTTTATTGATTTAGAAAAGCTTACATAAAGTTCCAAGAGATATTCTTTGGAGAGTTCTTGAGAAGAAAGGTGTTGATATGACTTATATTCAAGACATTAAAGATATATATACTAGAGTTGTTACTTGTGTTCGAACTGAAAGAGGATTGACCAAATATTTTACTATTTCTCAGGGATCGACTTTAAGCTCATAATTAAAGCATATCTTTTTGCTTTAGTTATGGAGGGTCTTACTGAATATTTATAGGAGGATGTACCTTGGTGTATGCTCTTTGCTGATGAATCCTTCTCGTGGATAAGACGAGAGGAAAAGCCCAGGAAAACCTTGAATTATGGAGGTCTACTTTGGAGTTTAAAGGCCTTCATTTGAGTAGAACTAAAACTGAATACATGGAATGTAATTTTAGTAGTAGTAGCTCTCGTGATAGAAGTGTAACTTTCGGTGATCAAATTACTAAAAAGTGTGAACGATTTAGATATCTAGGGTATGTTGTTCAAAGCAACGGTGATATAGATGGAGATGTTAATAGTAGAATTCAAGTTGGTTGGTTGAAGTGGAGGAATGCTTCGAGCCTTTTGTGTGATAGAAAAGTACCGCTTAGATTGAAAGGAAAATTTTATAAAATGGTGGTGAAACATGCAATGCTCTATGACACTGAATGTTGGCCTTTAAAAGAGAAGCATAATACTAAGTTATGTGTTGCCGAAATGAGAATGTTTAGATGGAGGAGTGGCTTTAAGCTTAGAGACAAAATGAGAAATGAATATATCTGTGATAGGGTTGGTGTAGCTCCAATGATGAAGAAAATTAGAGAGAGTCGCCTTAGATGGTTTGATCACATTAAACGTCGACCATTTGATGATCCAATTAGGGGAGTAGATGTTTAGTGTTTTAAATTCGACTTATGTTAAGAAAGGCAGAAGTAGACCTAGGAAGACTTGGGCTTAGTTTATAAAAAATAACCATAATTTATTAGAACTAAATGAAAATATGATAGGATGCAGTGGAGAAAAAGGATTCATGTAGCCAACCCTACGTAGTGGGATTATGGTTTTGTTCTTATTGTTGTTGTTGATTTGCCTCAAAGATGGTTACCCCCTACCGAGAATTGGCACACTAATGAATTTTACAATCGGACATTCAGTTATGAGTTTCGTAGACGCTTTTTCTGGCTATACCAAATCAAAATGCATTCGACCGACACTGAGTGAAAGATTGCATTGTTACACTATAATGTTCTTTGATCTAAAAAATGTTAGGGCTACTTACCAACGTCTTATAGATGTAATATTCTTGGAGTAAAAAGGAAAAAAATGTTTCTAGTTAAAAGTTGATCGACCGAGCAACATATAAATGACTAGAAAGAAACCTTTCAGACTCTCATAAGAATGATATGAAATTAAATCCATTAAAATGCATGTTCGGAACATCAACCGGAAAGTTCCTAAGATACTTTCAGACGTCTGAAGGTATAAAAGCCAATCCAAAAAAAAATAAAAGCATTCCTGAATATGCCTTCTCCTCAAAATACCAAGGAAGTGCAAAAATTAATTGGTCAAATAGCAGCACTCAGCTTGTTCATCTCTAAGTTTGGTGGCAAATGTGTTGTTTTCTTTAGAGTACCAAGGAAAGCTAAGAAATTCAAATGGTCAACCAAATATGAGCAAGCTTTCCAAAGTCTGAAGCAGTCATTAGCCTCGCCTTCGTTGCTATCAGTTACATTCCCAGGACAACGATTAAGACTCAAGTTATGGCTGACTTCCTAGACGAATTCTCCGAACATGTTGAACCGAGCAAAGGAGTTGAAGTTGGCAATCAAACCTGGAATCTATAAGTTGGTGGAGCCTCCAGTCAAGCGAGTGTAGAAATCAAATGACTCTAAGCAATCCGACTAGAGAGCATCTCTATCATTTGGTCGCTCTCGAGTTTGAGGTTACAAATAATCAGGTTGAATATGAAGCGTGAGTAGCAGGACTACGCTTGGCGTTCAACATTTGTTAGTTAAGTAAGATTATCAATTGGTGGTGAATCAAGTCAACGGAGAAATCGAAGCCCCTGACGGCTTTATGGTCAAATACTTGAACAAAGCGAAGGCGGAGATGGAGAAGTTTGCAAACTTTCGAATTGAACATGTAAGAAGGGAGGAAAACTAAGTGGTTGATCTTCTGCCAAAGAATATTTTCTTTGGAGAAAATAAACCACAAAGTTTCTTTTAACCGACCATAGAGGAGTTAGAAACAATGAAATAAAAAATCGAAGGCGCAAATAGTTGGGTGGATCTCTACATTCCTTACTTAAAAACTAGAAAGCTCCTTGAAAAATAACAGACCCTAGAAGGTTCAAATTCAAAGCCCCGCAATTCCTCATTATCAAAGATGAGCTTTTCCGAAGGTCTACCAATTCATTGCTCTTGTGGTGTGTGAAAGAAAATGAAGCGGAAGAAATCCTCTGTGAGGTTCATTCCGACGAATGTGACAGCTATTCTGGTGGCAAAACTTCTGCACATCTGGTTCAAAGATAAGGCTACTTCTGGCCGACCTTAATGAATGATGCCGAAGAATTTTGCAGGAGATGCGAACAATACCAGAAGTATGCTCCATTACAACAGTAACCATCCCAAAAGTTGCAACTGATAGTAAGTCCCTAGTCTTTTCCATCTGGGGCTTGATATCTTTTGTCTGTTTGCTTCCTCAAAAGAGCAGCAAAAATTTCCCTTGGTCACCATAGATTATTTTTCCAATTGTATAGAAGTGAAAGCTCTCGCCTGAATTAACGTTGAAGTCGTCTGTAGTTTTATTTGGATAGACATCTATTTTTTGAGGGTATGGTTTTCCTTTAATACTTATCACTGATTATGGGACCCAATTTGCTAATTCAGGTGTAAGAGATTTCTGTCAAAGTCAATAAATCAACATGAAATTTGCATTCGTGCATCACTTTCAGATGAACAAAGCAAAGGCGGAGATGGAGAAGTTGCAAACTTTCGAATTGAACATGTAAGAAGGCAGGAAAATTAAGTGGTTAATCTTCAGCCAAAGAATATTTTCTTTGGAGAAACGAAACCACAAAGTCTTTTTTAACCGACCATAGAGGAGTTAGAAACAATGAAAAGCTTAGAGATAAAATGAGAAATGAATATATCCGTGATAGGGTTGGTGTAGCTCCAATGATGAAGAAAATTAGAGAGAGTCGCCTTAGATGGTTTGGGCACATTAAACATTGACCATCTGATGATCCAATTAGGAGAGTAGATGTTTTAGATTCGACTTATGTTAAGAAAGACAGAAGTGGACCTAGGAAGACTTGGGCTTAGTGTATAAAAAATGACCTTAATTTATTAGAACTAAATGAAAATTTGATAGGACGCAGTGGAGAAAAAGGATTCATGTAACCAACCCTATGTAGTGGGATTATGGCTTTGTTGTTATTGTTGTTGTTGATTTGCCTCAAAGATGGTTACCCCTACCGAAAATTGGCACACTGATGAATTTTGTAGTCGGACATTCAGTTATGAGTTTCCTAGACGCTTTTTCTGGCTATACCAAACCAAAATGCATTCGACCGACACTGAGTGAAAGATTGCATTGTTACACTATAATGTTCTTTGATCTAAAAAACGTTGGGGCTACTTACCAGCGTCTTATAGATGTAATATTCTTTGAGAAAAAATGAAAAAAATGTTGAAGTCTATGTCGATGATGTTCTAGTTAAAAGTAGATCGGCCGAGCAACATATAAATGACTAGAAAGAAACCACAAAGTCTCTTTTAACTGACCATAGAGGAGTTAGAAACAATGAACGAAAAAATCGAAGGCGCAAAGAGTTGGGTGGATCTCTACATTCCTTACTTAAAAATTAGAAAGCTCCTCGAAAAAGTAATAGACCCTAGAAGGTTCAAATTCAAAGCCCCGCAATTCCTCATTATCAGAGATGAGCTTTTCCGAAGGTGAACCAATTTATTGCTCCTGTGGTGTGTGAAAGAAAATAAAGCGGAAGAAATCCTCTGTGAGGTTCATTCCGACGAATGTGGCAGCTACTCTGGTGGCAAAACTTCTGCACATCTGGTTCAGAGGCAAGGCTACTTCTGGCCGACCTTAATGAATGACGCCGAAGAATTTTGCAGGAGATGCGAACAATACCAGAAGTATGCTCCATTACAACAGTAACCATCCCAAAAGTTGCAACTGATAGTAAGTTCCTAGTCTTTTCCATCTGGGGCTTGATATCTTTTGTCTGTTTGCTTCCTCAAAAGAGCAGCAAAAATTTCCCTTGGTCACCATAGATTATTTTTCCAATTGTATAGAAGTGAATTTTTTTTAATTTGAGTATGGCGAATGCTTGAATCCAATCCTTTGGATAGACATCTATCTTTTGAGGGTATGGTTTTCTTTTAATACTTATCACTAATTATGGGACCCAATTTGCTAATTCGGGTGTAAGAGATTTCTGTCAAAGTTAATAAATCAACATGAAATTTGCATTCGTGCATCACTCTCGGATGAATGGACAAGCGAAGGCTGCAAACAAAATCATCCTAAATCTTCTAAGGAAGGTCAAAGGTGCAAGAGACAATTAGGCGGACTTGCGCCCGACTCTGATTCTTTCCTGCTCTCGCGTCCAAAGAATAAAAATGGTGATAGGGATCGCTGGATTACCTTACATTTAACTATTTGTCTGGATTTAGCCTAAAACCTATTAGAAAGGCTCTACCAAACAGCCCCATAAATCTGAACATACAGTCAAACAACCCAAAAAGATAATTTATAATATGCAAAAACTATATTGATTTTTGTTTTTATTTGAGTATGGCGAATGCTTGAATCCAATCCTTTGAAATTCCTTACTTTTTCTCCAACAAATGCATCATACATTCATGCGCAAAATAATTATATTGATTTTGATTATCATTTTGGGGCATTTACATACATACCATACCACTCAAATCTTTAACACCACATCAAAAATATCAATATCATCATCTTTTTTTTAACATTTTCATGCATATATTTATGATACAAAGACGTTATAAGTGTAAATACAAACTTTAGCCGTGAGATATGTAAATTTACAAGAATTGAGTGTTATGTATGTAAATCTTTTTATAATTTATTGTTCTTAACCCATCTTAGATGAAAACAGTTGGTATTTTTGATTTTCTGATATCAGGTTGTAAGCTACGATTTCAAAAAAGAGAGGTTTTCCGGCCTGCACCGATCTGCAATCCGATTCCCAGAAGAAAGATTCATCTTCTTCGGCACTCCAACGACTGCTGCTTCAAAGGACGCAGCCATGGCGGGGGAAGCCATTGTCAGAGCTCAGTTCCAGGTCGATCCTTATGGCTGTACAGGCTCTCTTCACTACAAGCGGCTGAAAAGGGATCCATTTCATCGTTCTGTTCCCTATCCTGGAGGTTGCCCTGAGCTGAAAGGCTTGTTCAGCTACTGTGGCCCTGCTATTTTTACTGGCAAGCTTCCATGGTGATGACTATTTGTAGCATTAGGAGGCAAAGAATATTAAAGTTTGTGTTTATGTAAATGCATAAGAATTGTGTGGTATGCATGTCAATGCTCCTATAATTATTTAGGATTTATAGTGTCATATTAACTCATATACGTGTTAAGAGCACAATTTTTAGAACAATTTGGATATAAATTTTGGCATGATTTATCAAGTAATCATTTGTTTCACTCAATTTGATAGCATAAGATTATATAGCTCAACACAAGGTCATATGTAAACTAAGGGAACATTATTGTTTTTTTTTAATGCACATTATTTAAAGTCTCACTTGACCAATTGGAGTAATAATCAAAATGACATGCATGTGTAAATTTCATTTTATATTTATAAATCAACATGTTTATTAATATAACTACACATGATTATCACCCCATTTGCATACATGCCACCAAGGCCTATGTCTTTAGATATCTAATGCCCAAACATATATTTTTGCATATAACACTCAAATATTTAATGTCACAAAATATCACTTTTATTTATTTTTCTAAAAGTGAAATGTTTTTTTTTTTTTTTTTTTTTTTTTTTTTTTTATGCATAGAATTATAAAACTAAAGTGTTATAAATATAAATATAAAATTTTATATGCTGCATAATTTTTATGTATTTATGTATATATAACGCTTAAAGTTTTATATTTATATTTATAATACTTTGATTTAATAAATTTATGCGTGCAAATATGTATTTTATGATTAAAAAGGATATTTATGATTGTATTTTTAATGAGATGCCAAGTAATTAAGTGGTATTAATGTAAATATGAATGTTTAGGTGTTGGATATGTAAATAGAAGGGGCAATTACGTCCCAACCAATTTCTACGTATTTTTATATCTAACACCTAAACTTTATTATCAACATTCATATCACCTAAAATTTTCATAGTTCATCAAAAAATATTATTATTTTAACTTTTAACACACACACACGCGCATAGATCTATATATGTATATATAAAGATTGGTCAAAGACTATTAGACGAGTCTCCCGACCAATCTCATGTGTATAGCCTTAACACTCACCCATTAAGTTATTATCTAGTCTGACTTAATGGTTATGTGGTTTTGTCTCATTAGTGTAACTTCCCAGGTGGTCACCTATCCTAAGAATACTCCCATGTGAACATGCTTAACTGTGGAGTTCCCAATGAAACTCCAATTTTTACACCAAAATATATCTCGATGTTTAAGAGTTTAAATTTATTCTACTTGAAGGGTTCTCTCTCATTTTAAGTAACTGACCTTCTCATCAATGATCTTAATCCAAAATCATTTTCTAAGTAGATATGACTAGAGGTGGCTCTCATCAAATAAGATTTTGTCCCTTCTTGGGTTCAAGAAGTGACTCCCATGGCACAATATTTTGTTTGTATGACACTTAGCTGTCATATTTCACCTATTGTAACACTCTAATATCATTTTTATTATAGCCCGAACTCTCACCCATCGAGATATTTTCAGCTTGGGCTTAATGCCATCACAATTTTTGTACCATTGGAGAAACTTCCAAGGAGGCCACCTATTTTAGAAAAACTCCCATGTGAGCATGATTAACTTTGAAGTTTCTGACAAAAATCTAAACATGAAAGACACCTCAATCTTTAAGAGTTCATCTTACACACATACACACACACAAGAATTAAAGAAAATGTATATACCTTTTTATTTTTTTTTAAATGAGGGTCATACTCCGCTTTATTGAAAAGAAAAAAGTACGAAGTTAATAATTTACCATAACACAAGGAAAAAAAGTTACAACTTAACAAAAAAGGGGGAAAAAAGGAACTAAAACTAAAGGAGTACAAAACAAATAATAGTTGAAACAACAAACTATAGACAATGGAAAAAAACAATTCTAACCAATTAAACAGAAACTGCTCCCAAACCAAAATTTTC